GTGATGGAGGACAGTTTTGTAAGTGTCCTGCTCCTTGCGACCTCCTCCACCGCGTCCAACGGGCAGCCCAGGACAGAGCTAGCCCTCTTGACCAGCTTATTCAGTTTTTTTCTGTCCCGGTCAGTGCTGCCTGTTCCCCAGCAGACGACGGCAAAGAGGATGGCAGAGGCCACCACAGAGTCATAAAAAGTCCGGAGGAGGGGTCTGGACACTCCGAAGGACCCCAGTCTCCTCAGGAGGTGGAGGCGACTTTGGCCCTTCCTGTAGAGGGCGTTGGTGTGTGTGGACCAGTCCAGTTTATTGTTGAGGTGCACACCCAGGTACTTAAAGCTGTCCACCAGCTCAATGTCCAAGCCCTGGATGCACACCGGTGACAGATGTGGAGACTTTTTCCTGAAGTCGATCACCATTTCCCGCGTCTTACTGGTTTATTATTTATTTTAAAATGTTTGTTACTTTTTCTTTTTATTATTTATATGCTGAATTACAAAATAATTATAGTAATAAAATTGTAATTTTTACATATTACTCATCTTGTTAAAGCTTTAACCTGAAGAAACAAAATGCCTTTGTGAAGTGTTTCTGTGTTTTTCCTCCTAAGGTGTTATACATCAGACAAAGTGGGTTTATGGTTAAGTGAAAAGGTGCCAGATCCCAGCAACAGTCAAATCTTCAAACATTTGAAGGTGAGAGAAAATTAACCGTTTTAGGAAAACATCATTACTACATGTGTTAATAATACATGTGTAAACGTATTGAATCAGAGAACAATAGAATGACACGTTGGTGTGAGATGGAAACTGTTGGAAAATTTGAATAGTTTGCTCCAATTTGAGAAATGTATCAGTAATATTGTGCATGCTTTTCTTGCAGATGAACGATGCCTCGGCTTCAATTTTTATACCCATCCTTGAGCGACATCCAAGTATCTCTGTGCTGGAGGTTGTCAACAGGTTTTCGGGGGATTTCAAGCCCAACCTGGAAAAATCCTTGGCAGATAAATCAGCTAGACATGATGAGATCTTACACATTGACAGGCACAATGAACAAAAACTGGCATGTGACAGGGCAGACCAAAGATGTAGAAGAGAAGAGTACAGCAAAATGGTTGACTCTGATGAGGAGGGAAACAACAAGGTTGACTCCTGGAGCTCTTCAGAGGAGGAAGAGTTTACACCAGGTTATGAAAAGCACTTCATGCCCACTGCACTAGATATACTGGAAGGTTGACATTTCTGACTGAATTGTTTACATCATATTTGTGTGTTTTTGTGAGTCCACAAATATTTTTTAAGGTGTTTATGCTGTTTTTATACTATTGACTGAAGTGGGAGTAATTCCTACCCAACTGCAGCTCATAGGATTTTTAATATAAAGTTTAAAACAAAGATGGGTGCTTAATGTATCAACTTTAGTCAAATCAACTTTATAAAAAATGTTTTATATGGTTTTATTCAATGTGTTGTATATATTTCTATAAGATGGAATAATAGCACAGTCTTACTTTTGGGCATGTTGCTGTGGTCTTATTATGAGATTTTTTTTTACCAGCTGTACTAGAGTGGTTTTACGTAGTAGAGCCATGCAATGCAAGTAAAATGTTTTAAATTTTTACTGGTTGTTCTCTTAAAACATTTATGTTTCCTATTTTCTATTTTGCAATTGGAAGCTAAATATCACTCATTTTTATATAATGCTTGAAAGATGTATTTTTAATTTATTTGGTTCAAATTACTCTTCAACTTTGAAGTAAATAATGTTCATGGTGCGTTCATGGTGCATTGTCGAGGCTGGACAAATTAAAAATGTTTAACACAAGTTTTAATGAATGTAACATTTCACTTTTTTGTATTCTTGCAGGCCACATTAATTTAAAAATATAAATGTATTTTTCAAAGACGTTGAACTATCAGAAGAAGATCTCGCGGTGTTTGCTTACAAGTGTTAAACGGAAGCTGCCCAGGGTCAGTTCCTGTCGGCGTGCTCATTTGAACCAGAGAAACCGCTGCTAAGAAGGGGGAAAAGCGGCCCAGTCGTCATAACCAACAAATCAACAAAAATACTGTACGTATTGGTTCGTTTTATCTCATGAGACAAATAATACATCAACTAAGGTATTTACACGGTGAATTGAGTCTGAAATTTACTGCAGCTGCCCGCCTAGCCTTTTTAGCATCGGTCAAACATTGCGGGTAAATTAGCGGCTAACGCCTGCCGAGAAAACGTGTTCACCAGTTGAAACAATTATTCGACTCCACCGCAAAGAAAACGACAATGTTACTATAATGTCACTTATATTTAGTTTCTGTAAAACAAAATTTCTGTTGTGTGTATTTATCTTAGCACAGTATGCCGTTTTCTTTTGCAGTTTATCGGGCACATTGGGAACACCCTGTATAAAACTGCCCCAGCTACGAACAGGCCCGGGCGAAAGGGCAACTGTGGTTAGCAACGACACTCTAGTATAAAAACGAAGAAAATAAAGCTCAGATGGACTGAAAGTTTTTCGACAATGTTTGTAAAAGGAATGTAAATATTTTCAGTTAAATATTTTTGATTGTTCACCAGAGCATGGTAACTTCGTGTCGCGTTTTTTCCACTTTTAACTCGACCTAAACTTTATTCGTTATTCGTCTTAAACGGTATATCAGCACGAACGCTTCATCTGCGAGTTTTGCTCTCTGTATTTTTGTGCTTTGGGCCCACCTAAGTGATAGCACGGGTAAGTTGAGACATAGTCGAGCTGGCATTCTATCTCGGGCACATGTGCTACGCATCACCGTATGCCGTTTTGAACGTGGGACACAAAGCATTTCCGCAACTCACTTCAGCGGAGGAGTGGGGGTCGGATTAACATGCACTGGATAAGCCGGTTTAGACATATAAGGGGGTCCTTTAAATTATTGTCTCATCTTCGTGACACAAATGCTATTTAAATTGTATTCGTTTGTTTATGCGGCTGTTGCTTGTCTATTTGTTCGGCCTCAACTGAAGAGTCAGCACAATATTTGACCTGTAAGATTTTGTCCTCTGCAACATATAGATTTTTAGCGGTGAAGGTAGTTTGTATGTTTAAAAAAAGACCTAAGATATGGCTCTTAAATTATTTTGAGTACATTGACGTCACCTACGTTTACGTGTTACAGTTCCCTTTTCAGTAAATCTTCAGTAAATAATTATATTGTATTAAAATACATATTAAACAATCATTGATTAGATTAATTTTATTTTTACTTATATTAAGTGTGGTGCTGTGGCAGATTAGAATGCTGATTAAAGAGCACAACCAAAAATATACATTAATTGCAGGAACATTCAAGTAACCTGGGACATTGCATTATTCACTGTCTGATAAATATCTACTTTCAAGAAAAAAATATTTTAAAGTTTTATGGGCCCCTTTAAGTAATTGTTGCCAACGCACATTGGAAAATAGCCTCTAAATGTTTCTAGAGACACACATACCTTAAATTGTGGGATTAGTGTCCATTATAAACAACCTACACCTGTTCAGTTTGTGTTTGTGATGGAAATCTTGCCTGCCAGACTTGGCTCTTAGGTCTTTGGAACTTTGGCCTTACTCAAATGACACCTATGACCTTATGACTTGCTTGCATAACATTACATGTGGCCTTTTGGAGTTGATGCATTACTAAACATCTGAGTAGTGCTGATGGTGTTTTGTATTCATACTGTCTGATCCAGAGACCACTTACATCATATTTCTTAGTAGTTTTACAACATGACTGTCAACTGGTAAATTAATTTTGTGTTTTCATAATTTTATAGGATGGAGTGGCGGCCAGATGAGCAGGGACTTCAGCAAGTCCTCCAGCTACTCAAAGATTCACAGTCGCCCAACACAGTCACGCAGAGAGCTGTTCAACAAGTATCCTACTATAGTGTATAGAGCTACTAGTGAAATATTCTGTGTCTGAGGTGGTGGAATATATTGAAACATGTCATGTTTAGCTTAGCTAAGTTGCATGTATTTTGGGCTACTGCGTTTTCTGTAATCGTCCTAAAGTTAAAGCACTAAATGTTATTCCAGTTGTTGTTGACAGCTGTTGGTTTGCGGGCTTCCCTGGTGTTAACCACCCTATAGGTTTGTCTTGACTTGGTGCCTTAGTGCCAGATGATTTATGTTGTTATGCAGCAGACAGCTGCCCGCAGCCTCGAACCTTCATGGGTTTTCCAAGTATTTTGTGACTCATGCTGGTTTGTCCCTTTTTGTCATGTCTTTACTGTGTCTCATGTACATTGGACCCTATATGTTCTGTATGTTATGAGAATGCTTGAGTTAAAGGTCTTTAACAACCTATGCAGAAACTTGAGCAACTAAATCAGTTTCCGGATTTCAACAATTATCTCATCTTTGTTCTCACACGACTAAAAACTGAAGGTAAGCACCCATCTTATTTTCCACACAAAGCCAAATAAGTTTGCCTTCTCCTGTTTGTTGTTGTACTTATTTAATTCTACTTCCCATTTTCTCAGATGAGCCGACTCGCTCTCTGAGCGGTCTGATCCTGAAGAACAACGTAAAAGCCCACTATCAG